ATTAATGGAAGAAATTTTCAGTCACTGCTTCACCCAGCAAGTGTTTGTTGAGTGTCTTCAATATGCCCTATGATGCACTATGCAGATATGATTGTGAAGAGTAAATTGCTAAAGAAAGTTGGAAGAGAAAAGAAAGCAATTTTTCTAGGAGAGAGATAATATAACAATCCCAGATCCCAATATAAAGAGCACCTGTGACTAAAATCACCATCACCATTAAGGAAAAAACTGTGGACCAAAAGAGTAGTGATTTTCATAGTGACCAGTCAAATCAATGGGGCAATATGTTTTAAACCTGCCAGTCAGTTGAATTTATTAATCAGATAATTTGGTCAACTTCTGATATTACTGTGGATTCAAAATTGATAGATTCAGTAAAATAAACTGATTTGATGGATGTATTTCCTTCAATTGGAGTAGTTGGTTGATTGACTGATCTTCAAGTTGATTTTAGAACATTTCAGTGAGTACAAGAGTCATAATTCCAGCTCTCTAACTATGTAACCCCTAAGGCAGCCAATTTCCTTCTTTGTAGCTCATATGAAAGAAATAAGGAAGTTTTGATCTTTTTTTAAGGGTTTCATGAATCAGCAAGTCTATTGATTCTTCCATAAATATAGCTTTAAAGGTTCTAAGTCTTGGAGCAGGAAAGAAAGGAGTCTATCTCCTGGGTTTCATCAGCTACTACTTGTCTATAACAGTGTTTACCTAATATTTGCCTTGAAAAATAAGGAAAACACTATTGGTAGTTTCTGTTGCTTGTTTACTGAAGGCATTGGTACTATGCTGCTCTTGGTACTCCCTGTCACCTGTTTTCTATGGCATTCCAGTTTCTTTAAGCCCATATTGAAAATTCATATCATATTTCCAATCATCTTACCTTCCTAGGTCAAGGGCAGCTTGCTGTCAAAGGTCAATTTTACAATTTTACCCAACTTTATCCCCACCTGTACCTCACTCCTACAGCCTTTAGTGAAAATTGCATTACTTTGAAGTTGAAAGTTGCATTCAGGCAGGCAGAACAGCTTTACTCCCACCCTGAGTTGGAACAGATAATGGATTCTACAGAGCAGGTGTCCAACTGGCCAAGGTCATCACACAATGAGTCAGTGTAAATATCCAAATTACAGTTGTGGACAATCTCAGCACATGACAGGTTCAGTTGATGAGTGTCCTTTTGTCTGTCTGTCACAATGGTCTGAGGACATGGAACAAATCAAATGAAAAAGCCTAAGACTGCCTTAGAAGGTTCTGTCTTTGCAAATCCTGTAGCACCCAGCAGGCTGGCACTATTTGTTGCAAATGTCTACACTGGTGGTGTTTGGATGATTTTGTTTCTCAGAAGCTATTTGTTCAGGGAAAAAAATGGAAAGTGGAAAGATGAAGTCAGTTTTCTTCTGACATTTCCAAGGATGAATACTTGTGAAGGACAAACAGGCAATCTCTCCTTAGAAACAGTCAATCCAAAGAGCCTAAAAGTCCTTCAGAGTTGCAAATAGAAGATCAGATCACAACTTCAAGAAAAACATTAGAAAATCAGGAGACTCTGCTCCTGGGAAAGAATAGGAACAATAACCAATATATTACAAATTCATGTTTCTCAGCACTGCACTTAGGGTTCAATTTCAAACAATGCCTGAAATTCAAAGTCAAAAACATCAAATATATGTGAGGTAGGAATGATTAAATTCACACAGAGTGGGTTTAAGTTTTGGGGATATTTTAAAATTTAGTTGATGTGATGAGAGTGTTTTTGAAAAACCTTTGAAAGACGTAGGGCTAAGGTGCACATATTAAAACTAGTTTAAGCACTATTTTTCCAATTTCATAGATGAAAAGCTAAATGCTTTGACCCTAAATAAAGCATTAGAAAGTAAATGATTGGAAATTTAAATTACTTTATATGTCAATGTGGTAGCAGGACCAGCAAACATTTCTGTAAATGTCATATCTTGAGGGAAAATATAATAACCCTTTTAGGGTTTAGAACAGCGTGTACACATTAATGTTGGCTTATAGAATTTTGTCCCCATTTCACAAATGAGAAGGCTCAAGTTAGATGACTATATATCTTTAGAATAGAAGATCCCAAATTCAAGGCCAGTTCTTTGACTGTTCTGTTTAACCCAGTTCTCTTGTTACTTTGCTGCAGTGCTTGTAGCATTCTGAGTATCAAATAGGCTTCCAGAAAACTCTATCAAGGCCTCTCTTCCTTTCAGGGTCAGTGCAGCAATAACTGTGTGGGAATGCTTGGCCTTTGTGTTGAGTGTAGGATCTGAAGTCTCCTTCTCTCTTTCAGTTGGCTGAAAAATATATTTTTGAGTACCTACTATGTGTCAGACACTGTACTGATTGCTGGATACAGAGTAGTGAATTCCTTACCCACAAGGGTCTTTTATGCTCATTGGAGGAGATAATCAAAAAACATCACTTGATTAAATAAAGAAGTCATCAGGTATTGGGAAGAAAATAAAATAAGTAGCCCTGGCAACTTAAGCTGGGGACTCAGGTACAGTTTTTCTGCTAGGCTGGTTGGTGGGGTCATTAAGCAGGAAGGTTGCTAAGCAGCAATAGCAATAACCAAAATAGTAGCTTGAATATTGAAATGGCAAATAATGAAATGGACAATGAACTAACATTGCCAATATATATTACTACTGTGCATTAAGTGACTCATTGAGTAATTTGAGTCTGGGGCAAGAAATGTGTACACAAATTTCTTTCTTTCTGGGGTAGAGAGTAAGTGTGAACTTCCCTGATGCAGTATCACTTCCTAATCCTAAAGTTACCCCATGTTGAACTAATAATCCAACACATTATTATCAAACATCCCTCTAAATATTTTACTTGAATTAACTTATGTATGAAAATTATCTCAGATACTACAGTTCACTTTTTATGTATGGAAGAAACTGAGGTATATACATCTTAAGCAACTTTCCAGTGATAGATTGGATAATGTTTCCCCAAAGATGTTCATGTCCTAATTATAAGAACCTTTGTATTTATTATCTTACAGGGTAAAATGAACTTTGCTTAAATGAAAGCGTTTAAGATGGCTATATTATCCTGGATTATCTGGGTGGGTGCAGTATAATCATAGAGATCCTCGCAAGAGTCTGAGAAGGTGATAAAAACAAAAATCAGAACAATGTGGTGAAGAGCCAAGGAATGCAGGTAGCTTCTAGAAACTAGAAAAGGGAAGGAAATAGATTCTTTCCTACAGCTTCCAGAACAAAATGTCACCTTGATTTTTAGCCCAGTAAAACCAATTTCAGATTGCTGGCCTCCAAAACTGAAACATAATAAACATGTGTTCTTCATGTTTCCTTAAGCTCACACATTAGTGATTGATGTGTGCGTGTGTGTGTGTGTGTGTGTGTGTGTGGCATTTACAGCAGCACTAGGAGAGTAATGCATTGCCCAAGGCCATGGAGCTACAAAATAAAAACAAGGCCAGGATTAAAATCGAGGTAATCTGGTGCCAGTGCCAGAGATTTAAGCACTGCACCACAGCGCCTCTCACAGGCAGAATGAAATTTTAAGTGAAAAGAAAACTGAGGGGTTCCCTTCCATCTTCCTCTTGTGCTCAGAGTTCCACTGCTAGAAAATTTGTAAAAAGACAAAAAAAATAGCAGGGTTTGGTGGTACATGCCTGTAATCCCAGCAATTCTGGAGACTGAGGCATAAAGATCACAAGTTTAAGGCCAGCTTTGGGAATTTAGGGAGACCCAATCTCTAAATAAACAAACAAACAAATAAATAAGTAGGCTGGGGATGTAGCTCAGTGGTAAACCACCCTTGGGTTCAATCCCCAGTGCCAAAAAATACAAAAGAAAAAGAACAACAACAAAAAAAAAAGGCGACTTTTACAAATTCCCTTCACAGCTTCACATCTTCAGTCCTGGAGTCAAGACATCAGTAATATGATTGTCTTATTTTAGAGATGAGGACTTTGAAAATGAAAGGGCTGGTGATACTGAAGTTACATGGCAGGATGGTGAAACAATCAACTAGTTACACAGGGAGCTCTGGTGGTGTGGGGGAGGGAGGTTCATTTATCTCAGTACTGTTTGAAACTAGAAGAAGGAGACTGTGTGGCAAATGAAGAACAGGACCCAGGCTTCCCGATGCTTGTATTTATCATTATTAGCTCAGGACGGTTGGGCGCAGAATATTACACACTCATCAGTGTAATAACTCTACAAGGATCAAAAATTCTCACTGTAGCCATCTGGTGATTTTTATATTCCCAAGTTTTAGCCATTTTTATACTCTGGTTGCCACCCCAGCACTCTAACACAGCACCTAGGACACAGTGGATGCTTATAAATATTGATGAATTAAACTGAACATTTATGATCACATACTTGGACCAGTGCTTTTCAAATGTTAAGGCACATCGAATTCCCTGGAATCTTCATTAACATTCAGATTCAGAGTTAGAAGGTCTGGGTCAGGCTTGAGATTGGACATTTCTACAGAGTTTCCATATAGTGCTGGTACTGTTGATCTATGGTTTATATTTTTCTGGATTTCAAAAAATGAGACCTCCCTATTCGTACACAAAATACAATTCACACAAAGTATGGTCATTTCGTGAAAGTTTACAAAGATGGCACAGAAATAGTTTTTCCCCCTTTTAGGCACCTAGAGCTCCCAATAAAAGGAACAAATTAGATGCTAGGGTACAATGGAAAGATCTTAACAGTGCCCCAACCCCCTGCTCCAGGAGCTCCGTTCCGGTCTTCTGGAGGCGAGGTAAAGGGACGAAAGGAAGTGTCCAGGAGCTCGCAAATGCTAATATTCTTCCATTAACTGCTTCAAGGGGGTATTTGCTTCTTTGAACCTCTGAGGTCCTTGGCAGACACTTGGAATCACAATGCCGCGCCCCCCTCTGAGCCCAAGCGGAGGAGGCGGACGTGCTTGCGTGTGCACTCAGTATAAATAAGTCCCAGGAGGCGGCCACTGGGCACAACCGACAGCGGACCGCACGGGCCATGGCTGGCGAAGACAACCAGTGGCAGGGCAGCATCCTCTACAACATGCTTATGAGCGCGAAGCAACCGCAGGCGCCTCCTGAGGTGCCCAAGGCGCGGCTCGGGGTTCCGTGCTGGGGCTGCTCATGCGGTTCTGAGTCCCGGGTGGGCAGAGAGGGGCTCCCGGGCGGACAGGCCATTTCGCTCCTGTACCGCTGCTGCTTTTGTGGGGAAGAGCACCCAAGGCAGGGCAGCATCTTATACAGCTTGCTCACTAATGCAAAGCAAACGCCTGTGGCTCCGGAAGCGTCCGAGGCACAGCCAGGAGGCTCGGGGTGGGAGTTCTCCTCCAGCGCTCAGAGGCTGAGAGATGGAGAAGGGCTGCCTGGCGGACGGGACCCAGCGCTCCAGTACCACAACTACTTTTGTGGTGAAGACCAGCTGCAGCAGCTGCAGGAGGAGCGGCAGGAGCAGCAACAGCAGCAGGGCATCATCCCGTACAGCATGCTTACGAGCACGAATCAAACCCCGGAGGCTCCCGAGGCGCGGCCAGCGGCCTCTTGGGTCACCTGGTGTGGCGCGCAGCAGCCGGTGGCCCTAAAGAATCCACAGGTGGTCTGTGAGGCAGCCTCAGCTGGCCTGTTGAAGACGCTACGCTTCGTTAAGTATTTGCCCTGCTTCCAGGTGCTAGTTCTTGAACAGCAGCTAGTGCTGTTGCGAGGTTGTTGGGCGTCTCTACTCATGCTCGAGCTCGCCCAGGATCGCTTGTACTTCGAGACGGCGGAGACTTCAGAGCCCAGCATGCTGCAGAGGAGCCTCACCACCAGGCGGCGGGAGACCGAGGGCTTCGAGCCACCACTTCTGTCCACATCACAGCCAAATTTGGCACTGCTGTCAGAAGCTGAGCAGTTGCCCTGGGTTACCACTGTTCGGGCCATCAAGACCTTCCTTGCCAAGTGCTGGAGTCTGGATATCAGTACCAAAGAGTATGCCTACCTCAAGGGGATCATGCTCTTTAACCCAGGTAAGGTCGCCAGCTCAGAAAAGCTTTAGAAAGTACCTTCCCCAGGGCACGGGAACTAAAGAGTTTTTAGTGGGGAGCAGGGAGGGGCAGGGCTGTCGGAGCACCGGAGGAAGAATCACGTTTTGGTAGAGTCATGGTGGGGGGGCTCTGGGAATCATTCCTAGTAGGTAAGCTGCTGCCAAAAGGAGAGGAGAGGTTCCTACTTGGTTCTTTTACGTGTTCCCGTTACTACAGGTAAGTTCTGCCTTCACAGGACATGACTTTCTTCTTTAGTTATTCTTTTAAATTCAGTAGCCTAGCTTTGAAAGTTTTTGCTCACTGCAAGTCATGCAACATCTTTCTCTAAATCCCCATTTTGAAATTTTACTAGAGCCATTTAGTTTGTGGAAATCTATTAAGTCTAGATTAAGTCTCTGGGAATATTGTCAGAATAGCAAACTTAGTGCTTCACCGATCTACCTCTGAACGGTCATTTGTATGGTCCAAAGCATCTAGACCCTCCCATTCTCCATGTCTCTTAATATCAGTTTGGCAAAGTTGCAGGAAAATGATGCAGTGTGTGTGTATGGGGGGGGGGTGATGCTTCTTTTACATCCCACCCCAATCCTTGAGCTGGGAGTCTCTAAATCTAGCATTTTTAAATGCTAGCAGTATTTGGGATTGTGCATTGGAAGCACTTGTGTTTGTGTGGGGGTGGTGCTTAAAAAGTCCTTCCAGGCTCCTCCCCTAGAAATTCTGACTCAGTAGATCTGCATTCATAATAAGTGCCCCAGGTAATTCTTGAGGTCATTTGGAAAGGAGTTTTTCTCATTCCTATTGAGATAAACAGTGAGACTGGGGTTCAGCTTCCATAATTTTACATTCTGATAGCTTCCCTCTTTTGTCACACACCCCCCTCCTCTTCCTTATTGTTACTCTACCTCCCACTTTTACCCACAAAGCACTCAGGTGAGTTTAACCAGCTAAACCTGAGTGTGTTAAAACACGAATGCACCTACATTTGGACAGAAGGTAGTGCCTATTAAATGTGTGACTTTTTTTAATGTTTAGCCTTTCATATTCCCTTAGCTTTGTTTAAACCCACATGATATATAGTATAAATCATAGTATAATTTATAGTATAAATTATAATGTTGTAATTTATTATGTTAGACACTTGTTTATATATTATAAAGTCACATGAATTCTATATAATTATAGGTAATTAAACATATAAGGCCAACATGTAAACATATATACATGGGTTTAAACATGGTGACAAAAGATAGTTGTGGACTCCATCTGCCTTTTCTCTTTCCCGACTTTGTATTTTTTCCTGCTTTCTCTTCCTCCTCCTCCTTATTTTTTGAAAAAGCTGTTCAGAGGAGAAGGTGTGGTATAAAAGGCAGAGAAAACTAATGTGGAGCTCAAAAAATGCAGTTTTCAGATGGCATGAATGGAATTTACACACTATTAAATAGAGCCTCAAGCCTGGGTATTGAGCTATAGATAGTTATCAGAATGGGAACATGGACCAGAAGTGTTGCTTTATTTTCTTATTTTATCAGATTTTAGATTTACTTATAACAAGTAACTCTTTTCTATCACTGTTATTTTAAAAAAAATTTTCATATATATTTTTAGTGGTTGTTGGACCTTTATTTTTTTATTCATTTGTTTATGTGCAGTGCTGAGAATTAAACCCAGTGCCCCACACATACCTTTTCTGAAGTTACTTTTCTAGTTTCTTTTAGTACATTTTAATTATAAAGAATAATGGCACATTTGTACATACATATAACAAACTTTGAGTTACTTTTGATCCATGTTGCAATCTGTTTTCATGTTTACTTTTTAACAAGAGAATGCTTTCAAAAACCTTACTTCTAAGATTTTTGTAAGAATCTTGAGAGCACTCATTAGAACCACATTTTTAAAACTTGCCCCAATACAGAAATCATGGTATAGTTAAGTGTTCAGCATTAACTTTCAAATTATATGGGCCTCTAGAATAATGCCCTGTAGGCAAATAATTAGGCAAATAATTAAAGTGAAACATGAATCATTTGTGGCTGTGAAGTTGGCCACTATTGGCTAGATGATGAGTATAATGGAAGGAAATTTTGAGGAAGAATGGCAAAATATTTGTCATCTGGCAAAACTTTCCATATAATGACCTGTTTCTCATAGGTAAAAGTTTGTATAGAAAGTAAACTGGAGCAATGATTAACTGAGATTTTTCTCCCTCCAGTCCTGCCAGGCCTGCAGTGCGTGAAGTACATAGAGGGACTTCAGTGGGGAACTCAGCAGATCCTCAGTGAGCACGTCAAGATGACGAACCCAGGGTATCAGAACAGGTTCACAGAATTGAATAACACCCTTTTCCTGCTGAAATTCATCGATGCCAATGTCATTGCTGAATTGTTCTTCAGACCCATCATTGGCACAGTCAGCATGGATGATATGATTCTGGAAATGCTGTGTGCAAAGTTATAAAGGCATAAATATGGGGCCTCATGAGTGCAGCTCACCATGAAGGAAGGATGAAGAGCTTTAGGCAGAAGAATGTCAAATGTTGTGAATATGAACTTTCTTGTTATTTTTACATTAATAGTATTTTTATATTCAATTGAATAAATAATTTAGATACAGAGAATGGAAAAAACACTGTTTTCCATACTGCTTCATTTGAAAGAAAACATTTGCCAATAGGTAACATACTTCTATACATCTTTAAGGAAAGAGCAGGGTACTATGCTAATAATTTTTTTCACAAATTTAGCCACTCTCTTTGAACTCACTAAAGTCAAATTTGTAATGTTGTTTTAATGAAATTAAGGTGTTATGTTTTAATAAATTTTAAGGTATTAACCATTAACTCGACTAAGAATTTTCATTGGGGATTTAAGTAACTTCAAAATTTATTAAAACCTAGAAAACATAAGCAACATTTTTTCTTATAAGTAATTTGTGACATTTAATGTTATAGCACTTATTTTCATTTCCATAAGCTGTGTAGAAGACTTACTTTGCACCCAGTTGGAACCAAGAGGTGGATGATCTATGATCAGAAAGTCAGCTGAAAGTGAGAGAGATTTTCAAAGTTGCATTTTGGCAGTTTTCTGTACACAATTATGTATTTGAACTAAAGCTCCACAAAAAAACTTACATTCTATAATGAGAGGTTATAGCTGCAGAAAGTTTATACATACGCTGTTTTGGTAACTGTCACATTGAACTAGCATGGCATGAAATTATGAAGTGACTTTATTCTTGCCTCCTACAACTTCTTTAAATATAACCCATAGAACTAGTTTTTCCTTGTCCTAGTTTTTCCTTGTCCGTAGATAAAATTGAGGGCCCATCCATGTCCATTAATTTATAGGTAATGGAATAACCCTTGTAAGGAGTCTTAAACAAAGCAGTGATCAATGTAATTGAAATTTCAAGATAACAGCTTCATAAATAGCAACATCAATAATATTAAAGAATATATGAGATTTCTAATGTTGATTTTTGGGAGATCCCAAGACCACCTCTCACTTGGGGATATGCTAAGTCTCATGAAACAGCATATAGTTGTATTCAGGGCCAAGAATTACTACACGGATATAGCCAGATTGTAAAAGAAAAGGACACAGGCAGAATCTGAAGGAAACCACATGCTGGTTTCCTTGTGCTTTCTCCTTCAGTGTAAACTATGTTTGCACAAATAGCCTAGGGACAGTGAGTCACCTTCATGACTTAGAGAAGGCTGTGAACACTTCCTAACTGAAGTTCTTATCAGCCCAGGGCCAAACTTGCAAGCAGGCCATTCTAAGGACAGCAGTCTGACTTGCTATGTTAACTTTTTTCTACACAATCTACACTTTGACCGGTGGCCAATGTGTCTTATTATCAGTAGGACCCCACACAGCAGGGTGAGACCCAACTTAGCACTATCAGCACTATCGATCTCACTTATGCCCTTTAGGAGTCCTGGATTTAGTCTGTTTAAACAAATCCCATTAATTACGAAGGACCCTCAGGCAGCCTTTGTTTGTTCCTTAGGAATATTTTTTTTTTTTTAAAGAGAGAGTGAGAGAGAGAGAGAGAGAGAGAGAGAGAGAGAGAGAGAGAGAGAGAGAGAATTTTTAATATTTATTTTTTAGTTCTCGGCGGACACNAGAGAGAGAGAGAGAGAGAGAATTTTTAATATTTATTTTTTAGTTCTCGGCGGACACAATATCTTTGTTGGTATGTGGTGCTGAGGATCGAACCCCGGCCGCACGCATGCCAGGTGAGCGCGCTACCGCTTGAGCCACATCCCCAGCCCCTAGGAATATTTTTTTTTACCTGGCCACAGCACAGCTCTGGCCTCAGTTGAAGCTGACCCGAATACCTTCCAGGGCTGAGGTGGTGTTGTGATAGGGCACCCTCACAAGAAGTACAGTCCTGAGGGCTCATGCAGAGCCCTGGAAACAAAGCACTGATGATATAAGTTGGCCAGGCCACCCCAGTTGTGGCCTACAACTGTGGTGCCTATCATCCCAGAATGCTCAGTCCATTGTGATTAATTCTGGTCCGTGTTTGTTTCTAGACAAAATGTCTGAGGTTGTCAGTCCCCAACCATTCTTTCAGGGACACTTCTTCATCTGTCTGGTGTGTATGGAGAGAGTTCTGTGAGGACATGAACTCATCCCTGCCTTCTCATGTCTTCTAGGCTCAGCAGTCTGAATCCAAATTGTTGACAGCAGCTTGCAAAGGCAGCATGAGAGAATTTTTCTTTAGAAAGAGGGGGAAACTTCCAGAAATTTTTCCTAAAAAAAAAAAAATTAAAACCCCACTTCTCTCCTTTCTCTCAGCCTCCCTCTAAGCCAGTTTTTTTTCCCTCCCCTTGATTGTTATAATTTCAATATGTCTCATTCAGTAATCCTAACTTTAAACTTTTTCTCAATTCATTCTTCTTTTTAACCCAGACTTTTTGTCTAAAAGGATTCTAAGGGGACAAAAGCATTTTCCACCAAATAGCATTTAAATACAATTTAAGCAGTAAAAGACTCATCATGCTCAGGAAATTGTCAGGGTGAATTCCTGATATCTTGATATATATATATTTTTTTTCATAATGGGCTTACATATCCCCTCTTCATGCCTTTTGTCTTGATTGTGTGTGTATCCAGTGAACAACCTAAAAAAGATTAATTCTTTTCTGGGGACATCTGAATCAAATGATCAAAGGTACATACAGAATGTTGAAAGGTGAGGGACATAGAGTCAGGACTGATGGCCCATATAAAAATATACACAACAGACCCAAAAGCCATTAACCCCTAAGGGGTAGAAATCTCATTTTATAAGAACTCATTAGCAAAAACAAACAGAATGCCACACAAACTCACTTTTTAAAACTCCAAAAGTATATCTCCATCTGGAGATTGGCTCTCTTTTTCCACAGTTTCCAATAGAAAAAATTATAGGGGAAAAAATCATCAGTTACAGAGTCTTGTTTCCAAAACCAAGAGTTTCAATTCTAATACATCCACCTGAGGCAAAAACCAAGGGAGTAGTGTCCCATGAACATATAATTTTTTGCAGCTTTCCCTGATGTGATGACCCCTCTAGTATTTATGAAATTATAAGCCTATAACACTTTTCATCAAATTGTATCGTGTATCCAGATGTAATAACCACAAATGCAAAGCTGTGATTTAAAATTCCCTTTCTTCATTCATTATAAGTAGGCTCAAATTCCTAGCAGCACATTTACCATTTACAGGGTTCACATTCTGGTTACCAGGAGAACCCAACTGGGATGAAAGAGAGGGGAGCTGATTTTCTTTCCTCCTTTATGGAGGAAAGAGCAATTATAAACTAAAACTTGGCTCATCCATAGCCCATTGTACAGAATGTTTGGGCCCTTTCTCCTTCTTCCAGGGCACCCATATCCCCCCAAAACAACAGAAAAGAACAAAATCAAAGCATAACCTGGGTTGCACTGTTCTTGCCCTCCCACTGAAATTCAGCAGAGTTTATTCTACATGGCCAAAAACATCTGAGAGATCCGGAGAGCCAACTCTCTTGGGGATGGGTCTAATCTTTTCAAATATGCCTGTATGAGTGTTCCTTTTCCCCCACATCCTTGCCAACATGTATTGTTGTCTATATTCTTGATAACTACCATTCTGACTGGTGTGAGATGAAATCGTAGAATAGTTTTGATTTGCATTTTTCTATTTACTAGAAATGTTGAACATTTTTTATATGTTTGTTGATTGAATGTATATCTTCTTCTGAAGTGTCTGTTCAGCTCCTTAGCCCATTTACTGATTGGTTTGTTTGGTTTTTTTGGTGTCAAGTTTTTTGAGTTTTTTATAAATCCTGGAGATTAGTGCTCTCTCTGACGTATGTGGCAACAATTTGCTCCCCAAATTTAGGCTCTCTCTTCACCTCATTAATTCTTTTGCTGAGAAGAAGCTCTTTAGTTTGAATCCATCCTACTTATTAATTCTTGATTTTATTTCTTGCACTATAGGACTCACTGATAAGTGGGGATGCTGATCCATAATGGGGGAGGGTCATGGGAAAAATGGAGGAACTTTGATTGGGCAAAGGGGAGGGAGGGATGGGAAGGGGGGATGGGGGCAGGAAAGATGGTGGAATGAGATCTACATCATTACCCTAGTAATAAAACATATAGTGCAATGCTACATCCTGTACAACCAGAGAAATGAAAAGTTGTGCTGTAATTGTGTACAATGAATCAAAATGCATTCTGCTGTCATATATACCTAATTAAAATAAATACATTAATAAAAAGTGCCTGCAACTATGAGCAACAGTTCACCTGCCATTATCATTCTTTGCCCCTCTTTCTTTCTTTTCCCCAAATAATGCTGTAGCTAGATTTCAGTGAGTTGGGATCATTCTAGCATATCCCACAGAAATCACTACTCTGTTGGTTATCCCCAAGACTACCCTCATATTCAGATATTTGCTAAAAGGTCTTACAGCCCTTCATGTGAAGTTGTACTCGTACTTAAGATTTATTACAGAGATATAGTAAGAATATATTGCTGGATCATGTGGGGGAAAGAACAGCAGAATTTGGAAGAAGTCACATGCAGGCCTCCAGTACTCTCTCTTCTATGGGGGTTTACACAGAGTGCATTCTTTCCTCAGTGATGAGAATTCAGTAACAAGTGTGTAATAATTCTGCCCTGGGAAACTTCTGATATTCAGAGTTAAGTTTTTTTTTTTTTTAAATCAAGGCTGGTTACATAAGCATTCTCTACCTAGCATGTATCAAAATTCCAAGCACATAGGAAGAAAGCAGGTGCTCAGTGTGCCACCTTGTTTGCACAGACTAGGCACAGTGAATTAAGGAAGGAGGAGAGAACTCCTGAATTAGAAACTCCCAGATGTCATCCAAAATCCAACTCTGCAAAAAGTCTATTCTAAAGGCAGCAATCTTAGACCTGCTGTGTTGCATTACCTTCATTCATAATAAAAGGAAA